TGAATCAAAGTAGCATGTGTCTCAGAGTGAGCTAACAACCCTCAGTATGGGAGACTCTTGAACAGGTAGTTGTTTACAATTACAGGTAAGAAAGAAACTTTGAGGGTGTAGATGTCACATCTAAGTTCACAAAGCTGGTAAGCAATATAATAAGGACCTGAATTCGGAACACATGAGTTTGGAACCCATGGGATTTATCAATATATCATCCCACCTTTCCAGAAACTACTGCCTTCTATGAATGACCAGTGGAAATTTATGTTCTTCCAACCACTCCGTGCAAGGCAGCTTCTTGATCTATTGGTAGTTCTTTCAGAAGAGAAAATGGAATTATCTGTCATGATTTGTTTTCAAAGAACTTAGGCTTACTCCTGTGAGTTTCTGCTTCTCTTTCTAAGTACTCACTCTCTGTTTTATTAGTTCATCTATAGCACAACAGTAGGGCTCAAGATAAACAAGATAGCAGAACTCCACGAAAGTGATTTTAGCAAATACTTATAGCCCATTAAAAAGTGAGATTAATTTAATGATAATGTTTACATGGGAGACCATTCTTACCTTTTAGAGTCACTTGCTGAACTTTTTAAGGAAGCTATGTCATGTCAGTAATTTACTTTTTGAAAAAAGAATAGCAAAAATAAATAGATAAAGCAACTACAACATGCTAATTGGTAGATACAAGCAATGGATGTATGTGTGTATCTTTAATTGTGTAAAAAGTTTTCGTAATAAAGAGTAAGAAGACACATTGACAAATAAAAAAGTAAATAATGATTATAGGATAGAGACTGAGGTAGTGAATACAAAAGAATAATCACTTTTGCACTTCTCTTCCATTCTCATTAAAGCAAGAACAGAGGAGGCACCAAACTAAACACTACTCCCCCATTGTCTCCTTTAATCCACAGCAATCCATCCTATAAGGTAGGGATTATTTTCTCCTTTTTACAGATGAGGAAACTGAGACTCAGAGAAAGGAAATGACTTGTTTCACGGTACTCTTAATCAAGGCAGTGCACTCTTTTGCCATAGGAAGAGCTGCGCAGAAGTGACTGAGTTGAAAGAATTCAGGACAGGTGGGGCGGGGTGGGGTAGGTGAAGGCACAAGGGAATGATGAAACGGGTGAATGGGGAGAAGGCAAGCAATAGCAGGTCCTGTGGAGGCCCGGACATTTCAGTGAAGTGATGAGGTTGTGCCTGGGGAAGGAAAAGTCCTCAGGAGCGGTGCACTGTATGATCGTACTAGCAGATCTGGGGTATATGAGAGGTCTGGGGATTAATCAGTATGACTATTGGAGTTTCCAAGCATGAGGATGCAATTGGCATATGTGGAAAGAAGATGTAAGTGAAGGCAGGAAGGATATGTTTTAGACAGGAGCTCTTGCCTACTTAACAGAGCACACTGTACCCCCTGTCCCATTCAATTCTAAAACTGATAAGGAGAAAGATTGCTAACAACTTCCCCCCAGTCTGTGTGATTACTTCCACAATGGAAAAAGACAGCTTCCAGGAAAATTTTTTTTTTTAGCATTTCAAAAACCAGTTGCCTAATTTTTAATAGTTACTTCCTTTGAGTATAGGGTACCGACCTAGATTCAAATTAGAATTCCATTTTAAAAGACTTTTTGCTTGTTAGGGGAAAAAATGTCCTATCTAAGAAAACGTGATCAACTGTGTGCTCTGCTGGAATTCTGCTGGTAGCTTGCGGGGGTGGTCAAAGCAAATCATTTTTGTAAAATTGAAATTGGTTGGTTTCAGTTTATAGATTTTCATTTAATTTCAAATGCAAGTGGTTATTTTTAAATGAAGTAAAGAAGTCTAAATTGTCCTACTAATCCAATAAAATATTGCCAAGAGGATAAAAGCAGACAACTGTGAGCCACGTGGGGGATCCTATCCAAAGCTTGCTTTTATATCTGCCTTCTGTTCTCATTAAAGCATGTCCGAAAGATCAAATGTACCCAGAACCCAAGCTGAAGGCAAAGGCATAAGTTGTTTACTTCCTCTCTGCCAGCAGCCTGCTTGCCACCAGGCTGGGATGCAGTGGCACGGGTCACAAGAATAATAATCCTATTTTCACACTCCCAGATCTCCATCAGGAGCCACCAGGGAGCAGCAGATGACTAAGTCACTCGCCGGGTTGCCTCCAGTTAGACACTTGCAAATGAGTGGGGAAGCTCACAGGAAGGGAAAGAAGGAGGGAAAACAGTAATGGCATCGACAATTCACATCTGTGTGGCTTTTTGATTCACAAAGTGCTTCGCGTTCATGCTTGTTTTTGATCTTACCTTTTAGTGAGCAGGACATGCATCATTAGTCCCATATAAGCAATGCAAATCCTAGAAATGTTAAGATAGGAATTTGTTCCAAATCACACAACTTGTTCAAAACATGGGCTTTGAAGACAAATGCTCTGGTTTGAATCTTGGCTTTATCGCTTACAAGCTGTGTGATGCTGGATGAGTTACTTAACCTCTCTGTGACCCCATTTCCTCATCTGTAAAATGGAGCTAAGAATAGTATCCATCTCATGCATGGTTGTGGAAATCAAATGATAGATTTCATGTCAAGTACTAAGAACACTTTTGGCATGGAGTACTCAATAAACACTATTCTTACATTTGTAAGATGTTTTAGGGTTTGCACAAAGTATATCCAGTTGAATTACATTTATTAAGCCCTAGGGCCAGCACTGTGCTAAATTCTAGGGATGCTATAATAAATCTTATGGTCCCAGCCATCCCTCAGTTGAGAAAGGGATGTAAGGGATAAGCAGAGATATACCGACTCATTCGTATAAAGTGGTATTTTAAACAACAAAGGTAACGAGAAGGAGAAATTAGCCCAATCTGGGAGTGTTAGACAGGGAAGGAAAATATCTTTATAACTTTACCTTTATTAAAAACCTCTGGGAAAAAAAGGTGTTATTAATATTTTGTCTGTTCTACAAATGAGTATAAAAAGGCTCAGAAAATGTAAAGGACTTCCCAAGGTGCCTCAGCTAGTGAGTGGCAAAGCCAGATCTCAATTATGCTAAACTTACCCCAAGGATATATTTCCTGTGAATTAAGTCATTGAGATAATAAGAAAGTTTTTTCTCTTTTTCCCCCACTGTCTTTCTTGTTTAAAAGGAAACAAAAACTGTCATTCTTTCCGCATCTCCCCTTCTCAACCTGAAAAATTTGGCAAAGTACAAATTCTCTAAAATCCGCCATTGGCTAAGAGTCACAGAAACCTAGGCCAAAAGTAACTACTGTATTCTTTCAGAGATCGGGAGGAACAGAAGCATGTGTGTTGTTAGGTTCGTCTGTATGGATGTTCACTGTTTCCCAGATTCCCAGTGTCAGGAATGAGTACGGGTACCGAGTGAAGCCGAAGTCAGAATGATCACAAACACAGAATGATTTTATACTATTTATCACATAAAAGAAAGAAGGAAGCTACACAAAGTGAAAACACATTCCAGAGAGAGTGGAAGGGGTCACTCTCCACTAGGGGAGAAAGACGCCAAAGGCTGATCCCACTAGCTTGCCCCACACTTCCCCTGGCAGGATTGGTTGCCGTTTCCCGCCTTTGGGGGTGATTGATAGATTGTGGTTATATAACAGATAGCGTGACAGGTTACATGACAGGGTAGGTTATATAATAGTTTCCCTTTCTGTGCATGCGTCTCTTCCCCAGAATCCTTCATGAAGCTCCATCCATGTTATGTTAATTAGATTGTAATAAGCTCTAGGTCAGGTAAAGGTTAATAGAACCTTTTTACTGTGCATATTCCCACCAGGGAACAGTGCCTAACCACGATTTGGTTCCTAGATGTAACTTGGTTCCCACTCTTTGTCTTTAACCACTTCCTTGCCACCCGTTTACCTCCACCAGACCTAACATTGTTGAATCCTTGTTCTACCACTAGCAAGCTCTATAATAGTAGGTGAGCAACGTAACCACATAGTCTCATTTTTTTTTCCATTCATAGAGAAATAATAGTTTCTATCTCCTAGAATTGCTATGATGACTACATGTCAAGTCCTTTGTCCCTTAACCTTAGCTAGAAAAATGCCATCCAGTCCACCCACTTCCCCACTCTGATCTGACTACAAAAATCATCTGTGCATTCTTTTTTGAAAGTCTTTCCTGGGAGGAGTCTATAGCTTTCCTTGTGAAGCATCCCAGTGATTGACCAATCTCACAACCTGGAAATCCAACTCTTGATATGTTGCTTGTGCTTTCGTTTAAAATTTCAACATTCTGCTCAGGGAAAAAGAGAAAGAGAGAGAGAAAAAAAATCTCTGGTCATATTATTTTTTATGGATAAATCAATGAACATCACAACTTTCTCTCACCCAAAATGTCCAATCTCAAAAATTTCCTTTTTGTCTTTAGAAGTTTTTGTTTCTCCTTGTTTCCTCTGGTGATGGACATGTCTCTTTTTTCCTGAGATTGCTGTGGTGATAATGTAAGTACCTGGTCATAATATTGTGTGTGTTGTATTGTTTGTTTTCAAAGCACATTCACATGCTTACCTTGTTGATCCTAAAACAGCTGAGTGAGGTAGGGAGAGCAGATACTATCCCCACATTAAGGATGAGGAAACTGAAGTGTAAAGGAAAGAATAATAGTAGCCATCATTGCTAAGCACTGATTGTGTCCCAGGTCTTCTTTGCATATTATCTTATTTGAACTTCTTAAAAGCCCACTGTAATAGGTGTCGTAAGTTCAATTTGCAGGAGAGAAAAGTGAGACTCAAAGAGGGAAGTTGTGCATTCAAGTTTCTCCAGGTAGCAAGCTGTGGAGCTGAGACTCATGTCCAGATCTGTCTTGGTCCAAGGTCAATAAGCTCAATCACTGGCCTATCAGAGATTTGTTCAATCAATCAGTGACTAACATGATATTAAAGTCTAGGACTCCTGATTAACAGTCTGGGTCATCATTCATGAAACCATTCATTCAGTCCTTCTCGATTGTTCAAGGTGCTGGAGCAATACCCACCTTTGACTAAGACAGTTGCTGCTCACACAGAACTGCTTTGCAGCTGTTCCTCCTCCCTAGTCTCCTGTTCTTGACTTCCTAGTCCATGCCTACAATTTTGGGGTTCCCAAGCATTCAGTCAGAGAGTAATAAATTTACATATATATATAACATAACATTTATAAGTGTTACATATATCATGCTTCCAGAATTCACCAGATTCTACAGCAAGAATAAATATTTGTCAGGCCAAACAAAATTCTTAGGGATTCAACAGCAAGGATATTTCTTCAAACATAGAGTTGGATGTAGAGAAAAATAAAGGAGAAAATATCCTGGAAGACTCTTCTTTTTACCTGAGTGTCCAGTCCATGTGGATTTACATACATATTCACAGCTGAATTGTGAGGCAAGCACTGAGCTGTGGGACGATTGTGCCCATGTTCACCTTACCTGGAGGAGAATGTGCTTATGTTCCTATCTGAGCTGCTCCACTCTCTCTCTCATTTTCTGTTTCATAAGGAGATGATGGTGAAAAAGGAGATCCGGGAGAGGAAGGAAAGCATGGCAAAGTGGGGCGCATGGGGCCAAAAGGTAAGTAAAATGATGTGAAACTGACACTATAATGCCAGAATTGCTCTTCTCTCTCTTTTGGCTTTTGCCTTGGAAATGAGCAGCTTTCTTAACACCCTCTTCCCCAAAGATGCACGAAATGTATTTCAGACATGAATTAACTCACCATCTGAGAGCTCCTATGAGATCACCTGTCAACAAGACTTGGACACATTTCTTAAGCTGCATCCTTAGGGCTGGCTGGGGTGGGGCACTCTGGGAGCCCCAGGGAAAAGCAGTCGCTGAAATATCTGAGAAACTATGAGCTGTAGAAACACAGCTGTGTTCATAGCTGTGTCTCCCCTCTGAAACCACTGCTAAGCAACACTTTTTTGGCTGGCCTAGAGCTTAAGGAGGAAGATAAAAAGAAATAAAAAGAGCTGCCTGATCCATTGATATAGTTACCTTTCCCCAAACGCTCTCTACTTCTTTAACTCCTGTACA